CTTTTAATTTTTTTTGTACAGGGTTTCATAACCAAGAGGGTGCGCGTTGAAATATTTTTTATTTTAATTGTAAATAGTTAAATAAATATATGTGTCAACGTTACCTTAACTATTACTGAGGTTATTAATTCCCAATTTACTTCCCCCTTACATTTCAGCAGTGAGAAATTCTTTACAACCATAAGTAATGATTAAAGCCCGTTACTTGTGGCTACTAACTACCTGAGTCTAAGTGACCTTTGACCCCTGGAATTTTTCATCTCCATCTGTGCTGCCCAAGTACTGTCGACGCCGTTTCGAAAGTTTGTGAAGTAAACCACATACAAAATCTGGTGCTCGAGAGCCGTCCCGTAAACAAACGCCAGTTGTAAGAAAGCATTTTCTCTGAGGCGAGAAAATCCCTTACAGCGTTAATGATAGGCTTGAACGCGTTAAACAAAAGGGTCCTTGTATTAATTGTTTGAGGGTTGGACACATCATACGACAATGTAAATCGGGACCATGTAGACGTTGTAGGGGTCGTCATCATACACTTCTTCATATAGAGAATGCCCCGCTTGGGGGTCCTGAAGCTAGTTTTAGCCAGCAAGTAACTAAAAACACTAAAACGGTTGTGTTATCTTCTCATTTAAACAGTCTTAGTCAAGTTATTTTATCCACTGTATAAGTTCATGTTCGCGATAAAAATGATACATTTCACAAAGCACGTGCTCTATTAGATATTGGCTCACAAAGTAGTTTTATTTCCGTTGATCTTTGTAAGCGTTTAGAGAAAAATAATAATACTTTACTGGTAAGTGAATTGAATGATACTTATTCAAAAATCAAATTTCAGGCTAATTTGAATGTTCAATCTATTCTTAATACATTTTCATTCAACATGTACTGTCTCGTAATTCCTAAAATAACTGGAAATTTGCCCAGCTACCAAATAGAAACTAAAAACCTTTAGATACCGAGCAATGTACAATTAGCGGATCCTCATTTTAATATTCCCGGTAAAATAGATATTTTGATAGGCGCTGACTACTTTTGGGAAATTATTAGTGTGGGACAAATCAAATTAGGTAGTTACGGTCCTGTGTTGCAAAAAAAACTCGATTTGGTTGGATCGTTGCTGGTCCTATACAATCTAGTACATCGAATATCGTGCGTTGTAATTTGTCTAGAAATATCGAGACAGAAAAACAATTAGAACGTTTTTGGGCAATCGAGGAGTTTCCTAACACAAAGGCTTGGTCAAACAAAGAAAAAATGGCAGAATCACATTTAATTAATACAACAAAACGTGACGAAAACGGGAAATTTATAGTTACCATACCTCTTAAAGATAGTCCCGAGATAGGGATTCTCGTAAAACTGCACAAAAACGTTTTCCTAATTTAGAGCGAAAATTCTGTAAAAACCCATCGTTTAAAGAAAACTATCATAGATTTTTTAAAGAATACCGCGATTTAGGTCACATGGTGAAAGTCACTAAACCGAATAATGCACAAACTACATACTATATGCCTCACCAAGGGATAGTAAAAGATTCCAGTCTAACTACGAAGTTGAGGGTCGTATTCGATTCATCGTGTCCTTCTAGTATCGGTTATTCTTTCAATGATCTCCACATAGTTGGGCCGACCAAACAAACAGATTTGTTTAAGATCGTATTGCTCTATAAATGGCACAATTTCCTAACTGCAGGAGACATTGAAAAAATGTATCGGATGTGCAAAATAGAACCATCTCAGAGACCATTGCAAAGAATTTTGTGGCGGAATAACCCCAATGACGACATAGATAGATACGAACTGACCACAGTAACATATGAAACGTCTTTAGCAACATTTCTAGCCATCCGCTGCTTATATCAGTTAGGAGTCGAGTGTGCGAATGAGCAAATTTCGGAAGTCATTAAACACAACTTTTATGTTAACGATATCGGGGGGTTCCACCGTAGAGGAAACAACTCAAATTGCATACCTACCTAATTTGTATTTTATATAGATAAAATTAAATAATTTATCAATTAAAACATGCAATACTTATTTACAAATAAATACACCAGTATATTCTGTGCTTTATTTAGCTATAATTCCAGGTATCAGCAAAAAAAAACAAACAGAAAAAATAACGGTACAACATCAATAATAAACGTGACAATACAATACTTAGGTTCACCCCCACTCTTCTCAGGGATAAATACAAAAAAATCGATCGTACAAAAAAAAACAGAATTGTAGGAAATTTAATTTTAAACAACTTTCTTTATAACAATTTTTCTCGTAAAATTGAAAATAAACGAGTTATTCTATAACCAAAAATTCACCCCCTCTTTTAGGGTATAAATCGAAAAAAATCGATCGTACAAAAAAAAAGCAGAATTGTAGGAAATTTAATTTTAAACAACTTTGTTTATAACAATTTTTCTCGTAAAATTGAAAATAAACGAGTTATTCTATAGCCAAAAATTCACCCCCTCTTTTCGGGTATAAATCGAAAAAAATAGATCGTACAAAAAAAAGCAGAATTGTAGGAAATTTAATTTTAAACAACTTTGTTAATAACAATTTTTCTCGTAAAATTGAAAATAAACGAGTTATTCTATAACCAAAAATTCACCCCCTCTTTTCGGGTATAAATCGAAAAAAAATCGATCGTACAAAAAAAAGCAGAATTGTAGGAAATTTAATTTTAAACAACTTTGTTTATAACAATTTTTCTCGTAAAATTGAAAATAAACGAGTTATTCTATAACCAAAAATTCACCCCCTCTTTTCGGGTATAAATCGAAAAAAATCGATCGTACAAAAAAAAGCAGAATTGTAGGAAATTTAATTTTAAACAACTTTGTTTATAACAATTTTTCTCGTAAAATTGAAAATAAACGAGTTATTCTATAACCAAAAATTCACCCCCTCTTTTCGGGTTTAAATCGAAAAAATCGATCGTACAAAAAAAAGCAGAATTGTAGGAAATTTAATTTTAAATAACTTTTGTAAAAACTATTTTCCTTGTAAAATTGAAAATAAATGAGTTATTCAAGATACAAAAAATAACCCTTTAAATCAAGATGGCGGAGGTAGCGACAACTTTGGAATCCCAACTTTTTGAATTTAGACTACCAGAGACCCCCTCCAACGAATTCCGAAGGAAAATTGCTGCTTCCAATTTTTCAGAATCTAAAATACTAATCCGATTGGGCTAATTAACTTTTACTTTTTATACCTATAACAAATATATCATTAAAAATGTAAACAGACCAGATTTTTATACTTTATACTAACCTGGCTACATCTGGATATTCTATTAACAATTTTCTTAAATATTTAATATCCATTTTAAAAAGATCATAGTTATTCTCAAAAAGTCGATTTCAAAAGCAAGAAAAAAGTATTTCTGACATCAATGAACAACCATATTGAATTTTATTTGACAGTGACATTTGACCGACTAAGGCCGATAAAGATAACTATTTCATAAATTTTGAACACGACTATATTTCGAAACTCGCTCTTAGTAACAAATCTAGTTACTTTTCCCTGTGTAAATGCGTCTTTTCAATTCGCTCCTCCTAGTTTAAAAACCACATACTTTGATTTTATTTTACTATACGGAGAATGGTCGCACTGCGCAGCTTTCTGAGTTCCTTTTAAAAGGAGATAGAAAACTCCGCCATTTTGAACCCTTATTACGTGTTGCCTACATCTTGGCGCAATATTTTTAATAGGTGCGTTTTAATCATCCGCTTCTGCTTCGGAATTGTCGGTTTTCTTGTTTTAATCTGACAGGTTAAAACGACTAAACCGACAATTCCGGAAGCAGAAGCGGATGATTAAAACGCACCTGATATTTTGCTTGCTGCTGTCAGTGTCAGTGAATATTATTTTTGAAGTCACAGTTTATTGCTAAAGAATCAGTTAGCTCACTCGGACCAGTTGAAAGTTCCAAAATAACATCCACTCCAGGGATACAAATTCAGGATACGCAGAAGACTGCTGTTTTATTATAGGCGGTTGTCATATATTGTATTATCCGAGTTGCACAGTGTATAAACTGAAACATTGAGATCAAAAGTGCCGACGCAGAGAGTGAGCGATCTGATTCTTTAGCTGTAAACTGTGTTACAGGGTTCAAAATGGACGCGCCCTATGTTGGGCGTGTCGGACCTCTCTCTTGCCTCGTATAGTAATCAAAGTATGTGTTAAAAACAGAGTATAGTCTTCATAATTGAGTTACACGTCTCGCTGGGTTGGCTCTGATACCTTCGAGCATATAAGACTAGAGATATCATTCAATGTATTTTGGTATGTATAAGCTTGGTCATCACTTTTGGCGTAAGGAGAGAGGGGGTACGTACTCCATTCTTAATGGCGTACGGTTTGAAAGGGTTCGTATTTATGTTTACCATTTATGCACTGTAATTTCACATTAACTAATAATTTAGATAATGGATTCGCATTATACGAAAAGACATAAATTAAGCATTATCGCAAAGAAAACAACTATTTTCTGGCGAACGTAACCAGTTACGGTGATGCTCAAATGAAGAACATTCTACAAACATGTTTTCTTATTAATTTGTCTATTTTCCATTTTAAGTTACGTTTATGGAATATAGAATACTTACTTGTGAAACGTCAACCAGGATCCTTTTGAGAATTTATTATTGCAAACTATACAAGCTTTCGGCACAATAAAAATACACTTGTCTTAAAAAGTTTTTCAAAGAGACACGTCGTCCAAATTGTTTTTGGAAGCAACAAAAAACGATCATTTTAAAAATGAAAAAAAGACGTCAAATGAAATGTCATTTATCACAAATACGCGCGTTACTTAAATTCGCCAATCATAAATCGTCGTGTTCCTAACTCGCCAATCATATTGCGTCGTGTACCTAACACCGAAGGGGTTACCCCCTTAAAACATAACAAACCCATTTGAGTAACATCTCTAGTCTTATATGCTCTAAGTCTGATACCGCTAACCAAATAAAAATTCTAGACTGAATAGCCCTAGTAGCTGAGGCCACAATAATTAAAAAGCAGATGAAATCATTTTGATTTAAAATTAGACAATTTTATGTAAATGCTCCCGATGTTATTTATTTTATTAAAATTATTTAAACACCTATCAAAACCTACGTAAACCTTCAATATATTTCAAACCAACACTCAGCAAGATCGGTATGAATCCAAAAACCCGGTGCAAACGAAGGATCAGCATCGATAGAACCTTCGAGCGTAGTAATTACGAATACCAAAAGTTTTTTAATGAAATATTAGACCTTCTAGAAGCAGATTTTACATTACCAGATCACAGAAGGGACAGCATCTTGCGCGAACTCTTTCCCACTATGATTTATAGAAAGATAATAGCTGCAGTGCCACCTATTAAAGCAAGGGATCCCTTTAATTTGGGTAAAACCTCTGAGAATATAAGAGCCACAAAACATGTATCAATCACGACTGAGTATTCTTTTAAAAGTTCCTCGAGCGAGGTGAGTATAAGACATAATTGGGAAAACAATATGGACTTTCTCCATTTTATAATACAAGTGTAGACTATCCTGGTCCATTTTCCTATAACAATGACAGGTTCAAAAATAGTAAAATAAAAAGTTTGTTTATTTATTTGCTTTAGCACTAGAGAGCTATACATTTAAAGTTAGTAACATCTCACAACAGAAGTATTTGTTGCAACATTTAGGAGATTTGTTTCAAGAAAAGGCAAACCGAAATTGGATCAAATTTTATTGGTGCAAAAACAAAATTGGAACAATTATGTTTATTTTTAAACAAAATTCAATTCTTTGACAGAAAAGTTTCACAATAAAAGTATAAAGTAGAACTTTATTCTTCCAAATTTTTGTGCTAATGTAAAGAGGGGGTCCCATCCCTTAAACATTACATTAGAAGTGTATATAATACTACCTCAAATTCTAGACTTCTTAACCCTTAACTCTTTAAGCTTAAAGATATGGATGTTTTTAATTTCTTATTAGACAACGTTTAACTTTATTAACTGATCCTAGATGTTTAGGACATTCCAGAGAATAGACTATGCAAACATGTGCAAATGATTTTGTAACAAACATTTTTGGAGGAGATGCTAAAAGAAATATTTGATAAAGCTACAATAGCGGCAAAAGTGAAAATTCCCTTTCCCTTATCTCACCATAGGACAAATGGTGAGATAGGAATGGAATATTGAATGTGACAATAAAGCTGTATAGTAAAAATCAAAGGCAGTACTGGAGAATTTATAAAAGTATTTTTGTTTCTGTTCTACTTTTAAATACAGAGTGTCTCAAATAAGATTGATCTATTTTAAATGTAAATGCACAGCTTATTAATTGCTCTAAAGAGATGGGGTTTTCACTAATTGATTTCGTTTATCCTAAATATTTTTTCAAGTTTGTTCACATTTTATCACATCAATACAGGGTGGTCCATTAATGTTGGTCAACTTGAATGGAAAAAATATGTATTATTTTAAATGGAATACCCTGTATATTTTGATGGCATTCAAAAGAAAGATTCATCTACTTTTTAAAAAGGTAAAGTTTGATATCTTTTGTTTTCTTAACAACACAGATTTTCGAGTTTTTAAGTAATACTGCTGTTTTCTTTATTTAAAAACTGACATTAAATAAAATTAACATAAAGAATTTATTAAGTAACAAAACATAACAAAAATTTATTAAAAATTAGAAAACAAACATTTATAATGAGGATGTAAAAGTATGTATGTATGTGTCTATCCTCTTGTTCAATGCACATACGCAAGCGAAATTTTAAATTTTCAAACGATTTTTCTAATATATCTGGCGGAATATTTTCGATAATGTTCCTAATGTTATCTTTTAGTTCTTCTACGTTGTTAATCTTAGGACTGTAGCATTTATCGTTCACATATCCCCAGAGAAAAAAATCAGGGACAGTTAGATCAGGAGATCGCGGTAACCACTCAATCGGTCAAGCTCGTCCTATCCACTTTTGATTAAAAAAATTATTTAACGAATCTCGTGCTATCATTGAAAAATGAGGAGGTGCGCCTTCTTGTTGAAAGTAAACGATGTCTCTTATTCCATCTTGAACTAATTGTGGATAAAAAAACTGTTCCAACATATCCGTGTAATTTGTACCTGTCACAGTTGGTTCCGTAAAGAAAAAAAGACCATAGATTTTTCTAGGGGACAACCCACACCAAACGTTTGGACTATCTCTTTCAAATTCATTAAAAGAAAAGGGGTTTTCAGAAACCCCTATTCTGCAATTTTGTTTGTTACACATTCCACTAATGTAAAAGGTTGCTCCATCAGACATGATTAATAACGTATTAGGTTCATTCCTGAATAAATCTAGTAAAATCTCGCATACCCTTAGTCGTTTTTCATAATCTGACGGGTACAATTTTTGGTAGGTCTGAATTTTATATAGAGTCAGTTTTAAAATTTTTAGACACCTTTGCACGTCATTTTTGGAAATGTCTAAAATTCCAGCAATCTTTCTAATCGAAATTCTGTAACTGTTAGCTTGCAGCACTTCATTAATAGACAACAACTTTTCAAAAAGAGCATCAGCGTTTCTTGGTTTTTTTAGGTGCGCAATGCCACTTTTTAATAATATTCACAGAAGGGGGATTTTTACCAAACTTTCTTCTAAATATTCTCCTTGTTCGAGAGATAGATTTAGTTTCTGCATAAATTAACACAGTTTGAGCTATTTTCAGTTACTGAATAAATCATTTTGTGACAGTAAATTAAATTACTTCTGATTTTATGAATTGTCAAATTTTGTCAAATGTTGTCAACTTGTCATAGCAAGAGTTGATTTATTTTACTATGTATCAAATTATGTTCAAATAAATTTGCCTACGAGTGTTTTACTCTCCTATGAAATAGACAGATGTATGTACTTTTAATGAATTTGAAAGAGATAAACCAAATGTTAATGTTCGGTTAATTTTGTGTGTTACGCATGTGTATTGAAGAGGTATACATAGAGGCACTTGTTATATCTTTTACATCCTTCATTATTAATAATTGTTTTGTAATCTATATTAAATTTTTGTAATGTTTTGTAACTGAAAATTCTTTTTGTTAATTTTATTTAATGTCAGTTTTTAAATAAAGAAAACAGCAGTGTTACTTAAAAACTCGAAAAATCTGTATTTTTAAGAAAACAAAAGATATCAAACTATACATTTTTAAAAAGTAGATGAATCTCTCTTTTGAATGCCATCAAAATATACAGGGTGTTCCATTTAAAATAATACATATTTTTTCCATTCAAGTTGACCAACATTAGTGATGTGATAAAATGTGAACAAACTTGAAAAAAACTTTTGGATAAACGAAACCAATAAGTGAAAACCCCATCTCTTTAGAGCAATTAATAAGCTGTGCAATTACATTTAAAATCGATCACTCTTATTTGAGACACCCTGTATTTTAAAACTATTTTTAAGGTGGTGAAATAAACAGTATTCACATCTTCTATGTATTTTGTATCTTAGTAACAGGTTGTCAATAAAAATATAATTTATTGTGAGAATAAAAATAATTTATCCTATGGAATTTTTATAATACTAAAAGTCTAATAAGTTGACTATTTGGAGGCTTTTACTAATTAGTTACAGTCTAGAAGGAAGTTATTCCTAACACTTACTAACGTACTATCTGTACAATACAGGAAAGACAGATTATATTTTTTAATCAGCAAAGTATACAAGGGACAAAGAAAGGTAAACAGCTAGTATTTCTAATTAAATTTCAATACTTTTTTCGTGCAAATATATTTTCTCGCTTTTACCAGAATTTTGCTTCTGCTCTACATGATTGGAATTTTAGCATGTTTTGATTGCAATTATGGTTTAAAAGTTTAAAAAAAATAGTGTTGTTTTTAGATGGCTCATAGGCAGCGAGTAGGTAGACTTGGCTATATTCGACAGCTTTTTGACTGAGAGGAGACAGATTGTAGACTTACGAGAGACAGGTCTCTCTGTATGTCAATTAGAGACATTAATAGAAGAACCAATAAATCTTTACGCACCATTTTAAGATATTGCCAGACATGGATCTAAGAAGGCAGAGCAAGGGACACTGGATGTCGCAGGAAAATAAACGAGCCCTAAGATCGCTACCTTAAACTTTTGGCTCTGTGCTAATCAGTTGTTTTAAGGGCACGAAAGTGTAGTTAAAATGCGTATAGTGTGTCGATGGATAAAAAGTTTTAAGCTTTCTTCTTATCCCGTTAAGTGTTGCTTTTCACTCCAAGGAATCGACATAACTGACAGCAATGATGCAAAGAGAGACTACAATATAATGAGAAATGGATAAGAGTTGTTTTTAGTTGTGAATCTCTATTTTGTTTTTGGGTATGCATGATGGTCGTGCAAGGGTAAGAAGCGACATGACGAAAGACGAGATCCCCACACCACAATGGAAAATCGTTTTCATCATACCGTGAAGATAGAGGTATTGGGTTCTATTTCATATCCTAGCAGGATATCTTTAGTGTTTATTAGAAGTAACAAGACTTCCTGCCACTATAATCAGGAAGTAGTGAAACCACATGTTCTTTCCTATCTTACGACCCTCCAGCAATATAACACCAGACTGCATCTATCTAAAAGAACCATGGACTTCTTCAATCAAGACCACGTTAATTGCTTACCATGGATATCAATATCACCTGATCTGTCACCCATAAAAAAATATGAGACATCATTGGTAGAACAGGTTGTTAATTTATCAGACTCCCTCAGTCTCTGGCAGCAGCAGCACTTAGACATGAGGTGGAGGTTACCTAGAATCAGATACCCCAAGAGAATATTAAACTTATTATTAGAATAACGTCAAGACATGTCACCAGGAGTGTTCTGTCTTCACCATTAATTGCTGTTGACGTAAAACTAAATTCTCAGTAACCGTCATTACATTTACGATATTTTCGTTTCTTCATAATCATGCCACTGGCTGAAGACATACTCTCTGTTTCTGTACTATAACGTTTATTTCTGATCAAAAATTGATCCATAAAGACAAAAGAGCAAAGACAACAAACAAGAAGTTATGGAACATTAACCACACAATATACTCTCCATTTTGGATTTCTTATTGTATTAGCGCAGCATAATCTGTCAAAGTGTGAGCATTTGTATTTATATTTCAGTGAGCTGTTCGATATCTTATTTTTTTGTTTACCTATATTAATAATTTCTCTAGATGTTGCCTATTGTATACTATATTATACTGTGACCTTCCTTCTTTAGTTTCTTGTCGCTTTTTACACTTGCTTTGAAAACATTTTACCCAGTTTTATTATAAACGATAATATACCACTTTTTATTAAACGCCTTCATTCGTTTTACTTAAAACTCATCCCAAGATTACTCGCCTTTTTATGTCTAGGTATTAAATGAATCAGTTGATACTGAACATGTTCCAACACCAGAAAAGGAAAGGACGTACGAAACATCTGAATCGATATTTGAACAACCACTTAAAATTTGGAGACAGCCTATTGGTGGATTAAAAGTAACACCAATGCACGAACCGAAAGATGTTGAGTCTGCTGAAGAACTAGAAGGTAAAATGTTTCTTTACTACTTATTTGTTTTTTGTACGTAATAATAACATTGAAAGGTCACACTTTTAACTATCTCATAGCACAATGAAAATTTTTAAAAACTGTAAAAAACATTACAACCAATTTTTATTAAACTGTCAATAGGATAGGAAAATCTGATAATAAAACAATGTTTATGTGGAGGTTCTACAAATTAGTTACTGGGAAAGCAATTAATTAAGAGTATCAAATTAAAGTTAATGATCGCAATAAATTAATTAAAATATATTCTAATTTAATATCGAATATTTATAATGTACCTTTCACTTTTTTTGTACCTTATGATCTAGGTGGCCATTTTGTTGGTCCTCTTCTACATATCCACCGATTTGGGAAGACGTCCAAGTAGTTTCTCACCAAGACCGCTTAGTGTGGAGCCGCACCATCTTGCACAGCCACAAATCATTTCTATTTGGAAACAACCGGTTCAGTTATTTGGGGATTAAAAAGTTTAAAAAAAAATTCTAAATATTGAGGGACCTGTTAAGGTTTATTTAAAAATGTATGGTCATATAATCTTATTGTCTATTATTAGTATCCAATCATTAACTTCATCCTGCATCCACCTCCATACTGAAGTCGAACGATTAACATGACCGCTTATGATGACAAATATAGATTAATTAGAAAACATACCTTTTTTTAAAAACACTGGATCTCTGTTAGTATGCTCAACACGTAATAAAATCAATGGAACAAAAATATCTGGGGTTCTGGGAATATTTCTTGACTGTCTAGACTGTAAAATTGTGTTGGCTACACTAGAAAAATATGGCTTAGGATATAACGCACTGAACTGGTTCCAGTCTTACATAACAGATAAACAACAAAGGGTCCGAACAAGTAAAAAATCTTAACATGGTAAATCCAATATTGGTATTCTGCAAGGAAGTATTGCAGGTCTATTATTGTTTGCTATATTTATGCTATGTCAATCTAATTTAAATATTTAAGGTGATGAGAATACAATTTTGAGAGGTATTTGTATTTGTAACGTGTGGAAGGTGGGCTACCCCCACGAGACTTAGGCCTCGCTAGGCCCATTGTGCTTCCTCCTAAGATGATATAGTCCAAGAGCTAGTAACACACATTCCATTAAGTGTTTGATGCACTTTGAAATTTTGTAATTTGAAATCATTTGGATGGAAAAGCAGATATGCCTTTGTTGACTAGACCCACCCCGGGACACCAGGTACTGCGCATAATAGAAAGGGGTCGTAAAATATGACCCAAAAAAGTATTTGATTCAGAGGCCAACAAACAACAATTAAAAGTTTAGGTAATTCTAAAAATACTAGTAATTTAGGCAGACACTTTTGAGAGGGTTTATAATTAATAAATCAACCCCAAAGTTGATTTTTTTTAAATATGATTTGAGTATATACTTTTTAATGCATAGTGGCGCATAACGAGGTTCATTCATTTTTATGTTGGCCGGCAATTAAACCCTGGAAAAAGTGTCTGCCTTTTTGGAATTATTTTTTTTTATATTTAATTAAAACGCTATTAAAATTTCAGCGTAATTCAAACACTTTAAATCATATTTAAAAAAAATCAACTTTGGGGTTAATTTATCAATTATAAACCCTCTCAAAAGTGTCTGCCTAAATTACTAGTATTTTTAGAATTACCTAAACTTTCAATTGTTGTTTGTTAGCCTCTGAATCAAACACTTTTTTTGGGTCATATTTTACGACCCCTTTCCAATATGCGCAGTACCTGGTGTCCCGGGGTGGGTCTACTTAACACAGGTATATCTGCTTTTCCATCCAAATGATTTCAAATTACAAAATTTTAAAGTGCATCAAACACTTAATGAAATGTATGTTACTAGCTCTCCGGCTAATAGGCACCTCCTAGCTCGTGAGCCAGCCTACAGATTTAATGTAGTTGACAACGTCGCCAAGAGGTGCTCCTTTTATATCGGCTGGTATTAGCCTATACTCGCTGAAAACAAATCTCCTAATAAATGAGAGCGTCGAGCAATCGTAGAGGATATGCTCGATGGTTTCATCTTCTTGTCCGCACCCTCTGCAGAATCCCGGATTTTGACAGCTCCATGATATGGAGATGCTTCCGTACTAGGCAATGACCATTTAGAATGCCTGTGACTAGGCCCAGATTCTGTATAGTCATAGTCAAATATTTGTTTGTTATATTGTTGTCAGGATAACTTAAAAGCTCTGTGGCAACTCTGCAGTTTCTTGTTTTATCCCATATTTCCTTGAATTTCACAAGGGAATGTTCTTTAATTAGGCCTGTCACTACCGATTTTGTCAGGCCAAAAAGTATTTGGATGGCTGCTTTCTTGGCCAGTGAATCAGCAAGACGGTTAACTTTCGATGAGGCGTGACCTTTAGTCCATCTTAAAATGACCACGTTGTTAATGTATACTTCGGCCAATACTTCGTTACATTCTAGTACTAACCCTGAATTAATTCGTGGTCTGTTTCGGGTGAGTAGTGCTTCTCTACTTTAAATAGATAGGCATGTTCGTTTCAGTGATATTGTTTCTTTTGCTGCTATGAACATCCCCGTGAGCTCTATTTGGTACTATTGCTCACAGTCCATTTTATGTTAAGCTTTAAGGATCTGGAGTATATTCTACATCCTGAGTCTTGTTTTGTTTTAGAACCGTCGGTGTAGACTTGAATCGTACCTGCCACTTCCGGCTCTTCTTTTTGTTCTGTTACAACTTTATGGCTTATGAAGATATATCTTGGTGAGATGAAGTACATGTTCGTTTAAAGCAGTATCGAGCGCCTCTTGCCAAAAGCCACGTCTCGCCTTGCCAGATTCTACATCAGGTTTAATTCCAACCATGCGGAGGCGTTTAATTGCCGTCAGAACAACCTCCTTGGTGTAAAATTCAGGGGGGTGCGACTAAGAATGACTTCCATAGCTCTGGTCGGTGTTGTTTTCATGGCTCCTGTTATGTTGAGGCATGCCGTTCTTTAAATTTGTTCTAGTTTACGGATAGCTCTCAATTTTCGATACTCAGACAACTGCACCGTATGTTAGCATAAATCTTGTGATAGCAGTGTAAGTCCACGTGATGACTCCATGTGAGAAACCTTAGGGGTGCATCACGGTTCGGCGCCATTATTCATAATCAATGTATGTTCTTTTGACTCTGTTTTCTAAATGCGAGTTCCATGTTAACTTGCTGTCAAAGGTGAAACCTAAGTACTTCACCTCTGTTGAAAAAATTAGTTTTGTGTTTAGGAGTTCTGGAGGTTTTAATTCAATTTTCATCCTTTTTCTTGTGATCATTTCAGTCTCTTTAGGATTGATAGACAGTGAATGGTCCTTACACCACTGTTCTATAATTTTAAGAGCATTCTTTCGCAAAGTATGTTCTCAAAATTCCCTGTTTATAGAATGACCAGGTCATCTGCATATGCTATTGTGTAGTGACTGTCATTATTGAGGTGGCTTATAAGGGTGTCGAGGACCATGTTCCACAGTAGAGGTGGACATACCCTCGCAACCAAGCCTCTTATATTCACATCTTCTACACTTATGTTTACTGATCGCTTTGAGAACATGTTATGTATTTACCCACTAACCATCTGTGGAACCCTCCTGTTGGTTAGTGAGTGTATTATCTTGGGGAAGGTGGTTTTATCAAAAGCACCTTCTATGTCTATGAAAACACCCAAGGCGGAGTCCTTATTGTCCAGGGATCTCTATCTGGCCTGCAACTAGATGAAAGGCTAACTCAGTGGATCTGCCTGTGGTGTATGCATGTTGGTTTTGGTGTAGTGGTGTTGTTGTAATCATCGCATTCCTTATGTACCTTTCGAATAACCTTTCCAATGTCTTCATGGAAAACAATGTCAGACTAATTGGTCGGTATGTTTTTGGGACAGTGTATTCCATCCTTCCAGGTTTGGGTATGAATACCACTTTTACCTCTCTCCATTTTTTGGAAATATACCTCAGAACTAACGAGTATGAATATAATGACCAGGTGCGGTGTGAGTTCTTCCAGACCTTACTGAAATAGAGCGGGATAGATACCATCAAGTTCTAGCGATTTAAATGGAGAGAAGCTGGATATTGCCCATCTAATTTTTTCATCGTCTACAAAGTGTGTGGCAGTTTGCCAATCACAGAGAGATGGGTTGTATTCTTCCTCTGTCCAGTCAGTTACGTTTATGATGACCGAGTCAGGGAAGTGTGTTGACAGCAGAAGCTTCATGCTATCTTCGAGGTTGGCAGTTTTCGTGCCATCCTCTTTGATAAGCCCACCAATGCCTCGAGGTGGATCTTTTAAGAGAGCTTTTTGATGCATTTCTGTTTGCCGGAAATCTTCGATTTCTTCGCAGTAGGATCTCCAATCATCTCTCTGCTTTTGTCTGACGATTTGTACTCTCTGAGGTGAGATTTGTAAGTATCCTAGTCCTCTTTGAGTTTTGTGGTTCTTGCCTTATTAAAGTATTTCCTAGCCATCTTCCTGAGGTGATCCAACTCGTGACACCACCATGCGGTTGTCGTCTAATCGTCTTGGACCAGCCTTAGGGGACAGGATTTCTAATATGCATTGTTTATTGTGCTTTGGATAGTGTTAGAGTACTTCTCCAAAGCATTGTTATTGTTTGGTGTTTCGGCCTCCATCTCCATCAGGGCCTCTTGTAGAAGGTGGGCATAGGTTGCTCTCTCCGTCTTCCTAGGGTTCCAAGATAACGTGGAGGTCGGCAACATTAAATTTATTTAGAATGTTAATGAGCGGTGGTCTGACATCCAAATGTTATCAGACATTTTTCAGTTTAGAATTAATTTTTAGATACCAGATGTAAATAAAGTGATATCTATTATTGTTTGTCTGCGAGAGTTTAAAAATGTTGGTTGTAAAATATAAAAATTTTTGGTAATTAAATAATCATAAAGTGACTTACCTCTTTTGACAGATGTGGAGACATTACTAAAGCTAATTGGTTACAAAAAAAAAAAACAAA